TAACTTAAATGATTTTAGCAAATGGCTGCAATATAACAAAGAGTGAAAAATTTAAGGGGGTCTGAATACTTTCCGTACCCACTGTATGTGTGTATGCTGGAGAGAAACCTGCTGACTGGATTGGTGTTTTGTAGATTTATTTGTTTGCTTGCCTGGTGATTTTGTGTCCCTCATGCATGCTGCATGCTATCATTAGGTCTGTGATATTTGCGGCTGTTCAGCAGAAATGGTTGGTTTTCCAGCAGCCATGTTCATTACGTCATTAATAGCGAGTGGAGCAGCAGGTTCATTGGCCCGTGCCAGACATACACTGGGCATAGGCATTCTGCTTACCCAAACAAATACTGCGTCCGTTTTTTACCTTTCACTATACAAGCACTCACACGCACGCACGCACACACACACACACACACACACGGGAGCACAGTTATAAACACATTGTTTGCCAGTGTTGTAGTTTATTTCCAAACTCCTGACTTAAAGGCAATGATTACTGCTCTGTCTAGGCAGATTTCATGAATGTAAGCGCTAAATGAACTCTCAAAGCAAGAGTTCACCCAAAAATGAAGCAACAATAGTCATCATTTAATCAGTCTCATGTCGTTCCAATACTGTATGACTTTCTTTCTTCTGTGGAACATAGAAGATATTTTAAAGAATGTTTGAGTGTTTTTGATTAGTTTTTTTTTATTTAGTTTTGTTTTACTTTTTGTTCTGTTTTCTTTTCTTTTCAATTTTTTTGTTGTTTTGTTTTGCATTTTGTTTAATTTTAGATTTATTTTGGTTTTACTTTTTCTGTTGTATGTTTTTTTATTTTATTTTATTTAGTTTTTTTTTGTTTTACATTTTTTGTATATTGTTTTGCAGTTTGTTTTGCTTTACTTTTTGTTTAGTTGTATGTTTAATGTTTTATATTTTGTTTTGAGTTTAGTTTTTACTTTTGTGTTTTGTTGTATGACTTGTTTTGTGTTTTGTTTTGTATTTTGTGCTTTGTTTTGCATTTTGTTTTGTTGTATGGTTTGTTTTGTGTTTTATATTGTATTTTGTGTTTTGTTGTATGTTTTGATTTGTGTTTTATGTTGTTGTTTTTTTTTTGTTGTTGTTGTTTTTTTTGTGATGTACAATGTTTGGATGACATGAAGCTGAGTAAATGAGAGAATTCATTTTTGGGTGAACCATCTCTTTAAACAAACCATTTATTGGCAAACTTTTGTCTGGTTCTTTTGTATGATGGCAACAGTGTTACAGTGGTCGATCTATCCTTTTCTTTTCAAGTTTGTATATTCTTTCTTGACTTTCAGGTTTTGCTGAGATGATTTGTTAATATTAAAATTTTTATCATTTAAAATGTGTCTAGTGGCCAATGAACTTCATTGCGAATCTTGTTTTATGTGTTTTATGTGCTTGTTTTTGACTTTGTTTTCTGTGATTGTTATTTAATTTTAAATACATTTATGATACATTAAAACATCTAGAGAAAAACATAATGGTGTATTCACAGCATCTACCATGAGGGGGCTAATTGCCAAAGCTAACCCGCCAAACCAAGAACCCTTGGGCCATTCTGACTACAGTATTATTGGTTCATAATTCCTAAAGTGTTTGGTAATGTTATTTGCTGAAGAAATATAAAAACAAAAAGTGATATATATATGAAATGAACCCACTGTGAGCCCCTTGAGTAGAGCTTATGTTTGATTAGTGTGAGATTTCACTCACAGCCCATGTTTGAAATAACTGCAGCCCTCAACCAAACCAGTTTACAGCAATATCAAGAGTATTAGCCCTCCCCTGCACTGATGCAAAACCATCGCGGTGTCCCAAATGGTGATTCAAGTTACAGTTTTGGTGGATATGAACTGACCTTACATCAGCACAGAGGAAGCTGGAATTTTAAGTAAGTGGAGGGGGATGTATTTCAGTGTGGACAGAGGGTGTAATAAGCTCCTGATAAGGGTGGATCACCTCGCTGAGGAGTTATAAGGAGAGAAGATGGGCCTGAATCTGATGAATGGGCTCATTTTGTGGAGGATGAGAGGGAAGGATAAACAACAGGAGTGATAGATGTGGCGGCGCTGTAAAGGAAAATCTAGCGGCCATGACAATCAGGGCGATCTTCCAGGCATGAAATGAACAAAGTGACGATGCACGAATGAGTAAATCAGCTCAAACGCCATCAGATTAGGAAGCGTCTGGGGTGAGTGGATAGGGTCTTATCACTGTGCACATGCAAGGGCCGTCTATCCAGTGTCTTTATTGTAATTGTAGTTTTTGTGTGTGTCTTTGTGGTCAGCTTTGCAGAATTTGCATTGCACCGTCTTGTCCATTTGCGCAAATGATGTAGATGTAAATGATGCTGATGGAGTTGAGGAGTTAGCATTCAGATATGCTTTGCTGTGATGAGA